TTATTTGTAATGCCAGTGTGTTTTCTGCTGTGTACTAGCTTGTTTGTCTCTTTCACAGAACTTGTAATTCTTGCTTTAAAAACCTTATCTTTGTGTTTACAATAGCCTTGCTGGGCCCTTTAGTAAATTATATGGCTCAGTCTTTTTCTCTCCAGGTTCACAATGAGAGGGTAAAGGGAACGGGATTACCCCACGCTTTCGAGCTGTTTTCCTCACAGATCCTGCCCACAAGATTATGTCATTGCGATAGGGCTTTTAAGCCTTTGTGGTACGGAAAGCTACAAAACAGATTCTTATTTTCACTGGCAGTAAAATAAAGAGTAGTGTGGTGATGAGGACTGTAGCTTCCCACCTGCACCAGCCTTGAGTGCTGCTAAAGGTGCCAGCTGCCCTCCCACATCTGCATGTCTGTCAGGTGGGGCTTCTCACACCTGTCCATTCATTCTGTCTTGGAAGGTTGTATAATGATCACATGGTGCAGAGTCCTCGAGAAAATAGAAATGACAGTATTACATAAACACAGTTGTCTCATTAAACCCCACCATTGGGCAGAATCTTAGAGCTGCCTTTTGCCTGTGTATCTTGGTAGGTCAGTACCTCTCTGTTTCCTGTGTCTTTGAAAAACCAACCACAGTTGTTTGAATAGTTGCCCTGATTTGTTGACCTACTGCAAAACAAGCCGGATTATTGGTTCAGCCTGGAATTAGATGTTCCAGTTTATCTTCCACATTTGTGATAATAACTGAAAATGATTCCTGTACTAATACCACTTGAAAATAATCATTCAATGGCAAATATACATATATTAAGCTTAATGTAGTTTGAATCATTGTATAAGATGACAAAAATTATTTTTATTATTTTTTAAATGTTTATTTTAAAACAATCTCAGAATTATAGAAATATTGCAAGTACAGAATAAAAAGGGGACTGTTCTTTGTCCAGATCAATTTGAAAGTTAGTTGTTGGCCTGATGCTCCAGTCTCCTCAGTACAAATGGGCAGCCTGTATTTGTTTGTTTGATCAGGCCCTGGCGTGGCACCAGTCTCTCTCCTGTCACTTTGTTCTTCCCCACTTGGGGGCCAGCACTCAGTACCAGACCTTCACACCAACCCATGCTGGGCGTTCCCCCAGGTCCTCCTCGCCCTGCTCAGAACGCAGCGGTCTGCGCAGACTGCTGCCGTGTTCCTCTCCTCACCTACCTTCGGTGTGGATCCTTCCAGATGGGATTTAATTAAGGAGGACCCTTGGGACTGACACCTTTGGAAGAGAGAGGAAGGAAACCGGATTGGGTAGAGAGAAGGACCAACTGTAGCCTTGGGCAGCCGTGGCATTAGAATGACCCTCCATGGTTGTCTCGAGTTGGGCCCAGGTGGCCAGGCCTTTTTGCCACTGCCATAATTAGTCGTTGCATGAAGGTTGTCCCCAGGGAAGGAAGAGGGCAAAGCAGCTTTTGCAGCTGGGGCAAACCCAAAGGGGCAACATCTGGAGGTTCCAGGCCAACAGCACTGCTCCAGCCAGCACAGCACATCCTTCAGGGAAGAGAGTCCCAGCAGCACTCACAGTGTCATACCCTGAGCAGGGACACTTGGAGTCCCACTCGACCTCCTCCATCCTGCACACCTTCCTTGCCCAGTCCCCCACCCTTACTGCTACCACCGTGGCTTTTAGACAGAATCGTTCCAGAAGGACAGGAAAGAGGAGAGGAGTCCATTACTCTTAAACCATACTAAGTGAAATAAGCCAGTCAAAAAAAGACAAATACCATATGATCTCATTTATATATGGAATCTAATGAACAAAATAAACTGACAAACAGAATAGAAACAGAGGCATAGATACATGGAACAGACTGACAGCTGTCAGAGGGGAAGGGGAGGGGGAGCCTGGGTGAAAGAAGGTGACGGGATTAGCCAAAGAACATATATGCAGAACCCATGGACACAGACAACAGGGTGGTGATGGCCAGAGGGAAGGGAGAGAGAGGCTGGATGGAGGCTGGCAAAGGGAGGGGGAATGGGGACATCTGTAACAGTGTCAACAATAAAGATAAAGAAAAAAACCCAGTACTATAATTCTATTTTTGTGGGTTTAGATTGGCTTTTCCTAATTGTGAAGGGTTTTACTGAAACACTTTCTTCCACTGAATTATCCAAATTTAAAAGAGAAAGAAAAGACCATCCTTTTTCCATGTCCCATGGCGCTTGTTCCCTTTACAGCTCTCTCATGTTTCTGGAAGTGTCTGCTTGGGAATCGGAGGTCTGGGAACAGAAATGCCTGTCTTTGGCCCCTACTTCCACAGTTTGAATTTTGACCTGATTTTCACGGTTCTGCTTTTTTACCTTCTGTTATTTTACTGTTTTTAAGGGACTTTAAGAACCTTGATATTAAGCTCTTTAGAAGAGAGAGCCCCAGAAACACCAGAATTGTGGTGGAAAATAAAACACAAGGGAAAATGTAGAGTCAAACCATGTTTTTATTCTCCGTTTCCACCAACGTTAACAGTGTGCTGTGCTCACAGAGTTGTGCTGTGTTTATGAAACACAGCAGAAGCTGTAGCCAGAAGCACCCAGAGTGAGTCAGGCAGCCCCTCCTGGGGGAGGGGGCACCTTTCTACATCTAGGGTGGTAGAGGTCCTAGGGCAGTCAATGGTCCTGCAAGGCTGTGGGACTTAGGCATGATCTTGTCTATGAAGAATTGCTTTTTAGTTCTTACTACACAGAAAGTCAAGCTCGGCCTCCTGAGACACAGAAAAACAAAGCAGTTGGGGAACAGGGGTGGGAAAGACCCATGAATGGACATAAAGGCCAGTTTTTCCAAGTTAGAATTTAATTTTTTTATTGTTGATACTTAAAAAATGATTTGTAAGGGAAAACTATTTAGTCTTCAGAAGGAAAAAAACAACAACAACTGGAAATCAATTCAGGAGCAGTTCGTTAATCTTTTTATTTCCATCACCGCTTTCTTAGGGAACCAGACCTAGGTTTTAAACTTAATACTTTATTCACAAATGGCAAAGGTGATGACCTCCTTATGTTACCCTCCAGTTTGCACCAATTGCCTCATGTCCCTGTGGTAGTTTGTGATGGATGGTTGGGGACCAGACCCTCCGAGTGTGAGAGAGCAGGCTGGCTAAGAGCTCCCATCCTCACTTCACTAGGGGCGGCGTCCGCCTTTCTCGATAGTTCATGCCTCTGCCCTTTGGTTACCTTTCTGAACACTACACTTGCCCTCTGCCAGAGCTCCCCCTACCTGCTGTTTTTCTGGAAAATAATTTCTTGTTCAAGATTTCCATTTGAAAATGGGGGTCTACATCAAGGGTGTAACTTAACAGGCTATTTGGATGTGTTGTCATTTCAGTGGACTCTAAGGTTAGTGAATGTGAACTAAAAATAAGGACCCATGATCTGCTGCCAACTGAAAAGTTTATAATTATTTTATACCAATGATAGTTTTAAAAAAAATCTATTGAAAGTGATTCAAGTCTATTTCCATATGCTCATCTTTTCAGCCAGGCATTATTTACGACATTATTTACCATAAATATTTGGATGAGTCCTGCAGGACTGAATTTTGAAACAAGAATCCAACCTGCTTTCCAGAAGATCTGGTTTCTCGTTTTTATGTTGATGACCTCACTGCATATGGTTTTTCCTGGGCAGGAGAAAGCTTTTTTCCTCAAAACTGATGAGCAACACAATGGCAGTATCTAGATTCCGGAAGCATCTGGAATTGGTGTGAATTACATATGCCACAATGAGAATATGCTAAATGAAAACCTTTATTGTGGTGATTCTCTTTGCACTCTCATTACATATATTGTGGCATTTCTTAAAAATATTTTTGTAAGAACATGAAGAACGATAAAAACAAACGACATGGAAGTCACACAGAGCCCCCTTTATGTTAGGAAAGAAAGGGGTACTTTGGGATATGCTCTGCAAAATAGGTCTGAGTAATTCTGTAGTCTTGCCATCCCTTCTCCTTCCTTCCTTCTAGGTACAGGGGCAAAACATACAGGGCCGTGGCCAAGATTGTACGAACTTCTGACCAGGTAGCGGACTTCTGCAGACGGGTGTGTGCCAAGCTGGAGTGCTGTCCAAATTTGTTCAGTCCTGTACTGGTTTCTGAAAACTGCCCAGAAAATTGCTCCATTCATACCAAAACCAAATACAGTGAGTACAAATAATGAACAGAACATTGGTCCGGGGGCCTGAACTGCGGGGTCATGTAGGTGTTTGTGGTTTTTCAAACCTTTTGAATAGTTTTTCATAGGAACCACTGCAGAAGAATTCTCTAAGCTTTGCTGTGGCGGGTAGTTCTGTTTTCTAGCTTGGTCTGAGGAAGGGGCGGCTGATTAAAATCAGGACGGTGTCATTGGTAGGCATCTGCAGAAAGACAGGAGTGTGTGTATGCTGTTATGAGTGTCAGTGGACTGGTCGATTATGAAAATGATGTGGCTGAAAGAAGGGCACAGAAAAACAGGTTACTGGTGATGGCTGTAACCAGAATTACTTCTTGGTTTTTGACACTGAGGGATTATAATGAGTCTCTCATTGCCCTTCTTTACACAGGGCAACCTCCTTGTCACAACTTGCTTCTCCCCTGTTTATGCCACTTTCTGCAGACTCTCTTCAGTGGAGAAGTTCGGGGGTGCAGAGCACTCTTCCTTTGCTCCTGACTGCCTCTGCTTCTCCGCTGGGAGAGTTTGCTACCAGGGCCCACACCGCCTTTGCTTTGACCTCTTCCCGGCAGGATGTTTCCTCTTTTAGCCGTCACCTCTTCCACGTATCTCCCATCACATTAGTGCCCCCTGCCTTCTCTTGTTGGCCTCCCCGGGCCCTCTCCTGCTTCTGTTCTGGTCTCCTTTATGCATCAGCCGCTCCCAGACACCCGCACTGCTGACAGCTCTGAGAAGTCTCTCTGATCCTGGCTTCTGCTCTTTCTACATCTCCCCTCTGTTATCTCTAAGCCACTGTGACGGTGTTTATATCCCCATCACAGTGACCTGGAAGTTTGCTCTACCAACCCACATTCCAGCCAGTTGCTAGGGTGTCACCAGGACCCACAGGCACAGTTGGCGCTCTGTGGGCCCCAACCAGATGGGAATAGTTAACTTGTGTGTCAGAACTAGGAACCTGAACATACTTGAAATACTATTCAGAGTGTGAATTTTCATATATATGTATGTGTATACATATATGTGTGTGTGTGTGTATATATATATATATATATATATATTCCCATTTATATATATATATATCCCCATTTCCTTCTGCACACACGGTCGGTCACGGAGGAATCGCAGGAGTCTTCTCTCCCTCTCTTCCCCTTGCCTCTGTACTCTGTCCACATATGTACATGTGTGTAACCTTTAAAAAAAAAAGCTTTTCATTCTCTCCTCTCTTTCCTTGTAGCCTATTATTATGGAAAGAGAAAGAAGATCATTAAGCCCCCAATTGGGGAAAGCAACGTTGACAGTGGACACCCTAAACCAGCTAGGCGTAGGAAACGGCGGAAATCCATTTTTGTGCAGAAGAAACGGAGGTCTTCCACCGTGGACTTCGCGGCAGGCTCGGGGGAGGTATGTTCCAGCACTCCAGGAGATGCAAGGCCCTGGCGGCCTCAGTGAAGGCCCCACTGCAAGTTTGATCTGAATGGTGGAAACACGAGATACCAGAAGCCTCCTCCTTATGTGCTGAACAGATTTAACATTGGCAGCTGCTCTAGCTGGGGAAGGGCTGCCACTGGGACCCTGGTTGGGACCTTCAGGTCAGTCCTCAGAGGCCTCACCAGGTGGTTTTCACAGGGCCACCTGGGCAGGAAAGATCTAGGGTTAGAGCCCAGCCTCTAGTGTTCCCGAAGGCTCCTTTCACCTAACTCCATTCCCTGAGTTTCCCTCCTTTGCAGGAAAGTGAAGAAGAAGATGCAGATGCCCTGGACGATGACACCGGGAGCGAGGAAACCGGCTCTGAGCTGCGGGACGATCAGACAGACACCTCTTCAGCCGAGGTCCCCTCTGCCAGGCCCCGGAGGGCCGTCACCCTAAGGAACAATTCCGAGCCTGAGCGCCGGCTGCCTGTGGAAAGGACGAGACGGGGCCGAAGAGTGCAGGCCGCCGCCGGCGCTGAGGGCTGTGACAAGGGCCCTGCAGCCGGCCAGGACAAGGACATGGCTGAGGTAAAGCACACAGACCCTGGAACTGCCTTGTCTGGGCAGAGTGTTGAAGAAAATTTATTATAGTTCATGGCCTGGATTTTGGGACACCTGTTTAAAATACTAAAGACACTAGCAGCTGCTCCAGCCTAGTTCTAAGTCATGGGCAAAAGGCTTGGTGATTTCACGTCCTGACCGAGTGGGTCAGCAAACATCAGCTTGGAGTTCTGAGGGAGGTAATGGCACCCCTTTTCCTAGAGGGCTTTAAACCACAAAGGATCCTTTCAGGAGCACAGACGGAAGTCCTCAAGGTCCCACTGAACACTAGACTTTCCCTTTATTTATAGGATACTCTGTGATGCCATAAAATACTAAATCAGTCTGTTGGATCTCCCCTGAACCCACAGGTGCTAGAGGATCAGCTAACAGGTCACTGGCGCTGTTGTCCCCAAAATAAATGGGGGGAATAGCTCTCTCTCTTGGGTACATTTGCAGATGCCCTTTATCATTCTTTTCTCCACTTCAGCCAGGGAGTCATTAAGCAGGCCCAAGATTTCCTGAACTTGGGATTCAACAACTGCTATTGCTGTACCTTTGAAAAATATTTTACCTCTGAAGGCACACAAATCATTGGAGGCAAAGTCATAACCCAGATGAGTTGCTAAGAAGGTCCCTAGAGACCACAGTCTCTGTGGCTTGTTCTGGCGCCTTGTGAGAGGCGCTGGGGGGGGAGTCCCCTCATGGTCCCAGAAGCTGTAGAGAGGACCCCACTGACCACGCAGTGATAAAAGAACCTCCTGCTTCCCTTATCTTGTAGGAAATAAAGCAGGAGGAGGAGGAGAGGCTCATTCTGGAGAGCAACCCGTTGGAGTGGACGGTGACTGACGTGGTGAGGTTCATTAAACTGACGGACTGCGCCCCCTTGGCCAAAATATTTCAGGAACAGGTACGGTGGTTCTGTGTGTACTTGCTGTGTTTATTATGAGACTCTGGATCTCAATTACACTTTCTGTTTTAGCTGCTTCCTGTGACACAGCTTTGGCAGGGGAGGGGGCACGTCTTCATGACTTCATTACTTCATTACGTGGGTGGGAGGTGGAGGTTTGGGGTCCATGTGTGGTCTTCATCAACACCTCCTTGGGGGACTCTTGGCCAAGAGGAGATGGAAGTCTGGGCTCCCCACATAACCTTCTCAGGCACCCCACTACTGGGGGGGTGGGATCCTGTTGCCACCTGGCCAGGCTGGAATTCAAGGCCCTCTCTCCACCTCTGCTGGCATGAGGGGGGTGGGCTGCTTCGCGGAGCAGTGGTTGTTGAAAGGTTCTGTCTCCTAGGCTAGCCTTTCCCAGTCCTGTGGCTGGAGGGAGCAGGCCTCTGTCGGGCCTCTTGTCACCTGCGCCCATTGGCATTTCTGGGCTCCCAGCTTCTTTAGCAGTAAGCCTTGGGTATGGGAGGCAAACGTACAAAACCCAGCGCACTCGCCACCTGTCATATCTTGGGTCCCGCAGTCCCAGCTGCTTGGCCTTCTCCCCACCTTCAAATTCCTTTTCAGCCCCACCTTCAAATTCCTCTTCAGTTTGTTTTATTTATAACATCCAGGGCTTTTAGTTCTGCTTAGAGGGTGAAATAGGGAAAAGTATGCTGGCTTCATCTTCCCCAAAGTAGTTTTCTGTACGTTGTGTTTTATTTCACGCTGCTTTCATCACTATTTTCTTTCTTTCTCCCCTTTGGCTTTATAAAATATTTTAGAGCCCATGGTATGTTAGGTGGGTGTTGTAATAAGGATGGATAAATACAAAAACAATCGATACAATCTATACCTGAAAGGAATTTTAAATTTAGCAGATGAAATGACTATAACTAGTTAAAATCTACTACATGCCATGATGAGCCGTAGGAAACAATGGTTTTTATTTATAATTTCCCTCAAATTAATATACAAACAAATCGCTACTCTCTGAACATACACCACCCTGTAGACTTCTCCCTAGCCTCATACGAGAAGTCCAAGTTTAAGCCTGTGATGCATACTCTGCTGGGTTTGCTTCATTTGTTGAAATTTCTAGCACTAGGTCACAGTGTAAATATCTGTCTCTCAAGACCCCACATTTTTTTTTTAAGTTTTCCATATAATAAATTAAAAATATGTCTATCCAGTCTTTTTTTAGATTACACAAACCAATAGTCTAGAAAAAGGGTAATTCAAAGCAGTAAATCAGGAAGAAAAAAGAAAGGCCTCTGATTTCCCATGCTCCCAGTGAATTTCTCATATTTTCTCTCAAGTTCACCATAATGCAGTAATGAATTGTGAAAAGCAAATAAATATGGTTCCCAGCTCCTCCCAGGGGAGAGTAGTTCTTAACTACAAACGTCTCCGATTGACCACTAGAGTCTTTTGTAGACACCCCGTAAGTGCACCCTGAATGAATGAATGAATGAATGAATGAATGAATGGTGAGAGGGGCAAGGTTGCCTCCTGGCATTCTGACTGCATTTCCTCTCAGGGAGACACTGAAAAGCAGATAGGAAAAAGCTCCATCAGACACAAGGAACCTGGGTAATGAGCATGTCTCTTCATTTAAAACACACACAGAAAAGAGAAAATTATAAGAAATGGGAGGATTTGGGGCATGCTGATAAGCTATGCCTCTGGCTTGAGAGTGAGAATACAACAGAAGTTAGAAGTCTTGCTAAAAGCATTGCATTCAAATGCGTGGCAAGTCCTGTGACACAGTGTAATGTGTGTACCTGTCCATTCATGTGCATTCTCCGCATACACTGATGGTGGCTGGCTTCAGTCGTCAACAGGCAGATGTGGAAGGGAGCACTCTCTATTAGCCTAAAGTTATGTTTTTGTTTTAGACCCAAATGCCCAGTTTTAACTGAGAAATGTGTTTCAGTTGGTCCTATCACGGAACTGGAGAGGGAGCCTCTCCCGCCTAGATGCCAGGTTATCTGTGGAGCTCAAGACCATTTATACTGTGAAAGGTTAACAGGCTCACGGGCTGATTTCCTTTTACAGGTTTCTAGTAACGAGCAAGTGAAAACAAAGCTGATTGGGGAAAAGGCTAAAAATACTACTTACGTTAAGTCTTTTTTAATTTAGTGCTTCTAAGCCCTGTTTATAACAACATCTCAGAAAGTTCCTTGCCTCCGCAGGCGAAGGCTTCTAAGAAGTGAAGTGTTCCCTGCATGTTACCACTTCTAGAATCAAGCAACGGGCAGGGCCCTCCCTTCGGTTGCTCTTCTCACGTCGGTTAGAAGCTTGGTCCTCCATACCTACTTATTTTTCATGTAGAGAGAAAAGCAGGTAGACTTTAATCGATAATAGCCTCAGCCCTTTTTAATTTTAAATTTCACATTAGGCCGTTTCGCCTGCCGCAATAAAAGGCTGCTGCCCCGCTGTGCTATCTGAAGTACGTGGGCACTTGAGTCCTTTCCTGTTCAATCAGACCTTTAATTACTAATTTTTGCTAATTTGCTCTATCATCTTTGAGCCTGGATGCCACGGCCGTGATTGGGCGAGGCCTCCAGTGGGTCACTCCAGGCGCTGTATGAGTTTTTAGATGAACTGGAAGGAACCCGGGGTCTTTATTCACCAGTGTGTGAAAAAAATCACAGGGCCTGGAATGGTAATAGCTATGTGAGCTCACTGCTCTGGATGTTGTAAATTCAGAGACTATCATAATCACCAGGAGTATTTATAGAAATTATAAACTTCCCATTACTGGAATACATGCCTTATAATTCTGAAATGTTACGGCAACTGCTTAAAAAATCTATACTCTGTAATTTCATGCCATATACATGTATATTATCCAGTAAAACCCCCACATCTATAACCAAACACAAAACTCTCAAATAAAATGTTGCCTATTTGTTCACCTTTTATGAATCAGAGACATAGAATAATCAAAGTACCCAAATTAGCGATTTATTTTAATAAAAAAATTTCAGGCTAGTTTATAGGTTTACTTCACATTTAGACCATTCTCGCCAATTCCTACTTCTGTAGACCTGGATATTCCCATTAAGGAACTGCCAAGTCTTATACTGACCTCTATATCAAACAAAATTAATTTTGCCATGTGCTAAGCATAACTTTCATGCTGTGTATTTTATTATATTTCATTTCCTCAAAATTAGTAGTCCATTTGTGGTAATTCTGTGTTGAACATGACAAGTGGTTTGCCAGCAGTTCTGAGTTATATGAAAGCATATTTGTAAAAATTAAATTAACTGTGAGGTCTGTTACTACAAAATCAATGGAAAGGAAAAACCTTTCTTCAAACCAGAGCAACAGCTGCATATGAGAGGAACTGCAAGGTGGGATTCTGCCGTCACTCCTTGGCTCCTTCCAGGATCATGTTGTGCTTCCATTCACCCATCTCCCCCTCCCACTCCTCTGTGGGGACCCTGGAGTGGTTGTTGGTTATGTGCAGCCTGCAGCGTGAGTGATAGTGGGGGATAGACATGTCAGTCAACCACATTTGATATCACTGAGCCACTGCCCTGGTTCGTCCACACCAGTGACAATCCCATGGTCAGGCTGCTAAATCTAGTGCTTTCCCACAAGCAGCATGACACTTTGGTGTTTGGATATCAGAGGTCTGATTTTATTCTTGGAGCATGTTCTTCTCAACATACGAACATTCTAGAGTTCTGTTTTACATCAGGGAAGATAGAGAGTGAGGCGAGAACCCAGAGAGGGCAGCGGAGCCCTGAGGTGGCTCAGTGCACGTTGACCACTCCTCCCATTTCAGATATCGGCCCAGTTGTCAGTTCTTCACATATAAAAAGCTGGTATGAAGGATTGCTGTAATGAATTAGATAGCTTAGCCTTAATCTACCTTTGCCCTGTAATCTTCACCTTCCTGAAATTAGGAGAGTATCTGCAGACAAAATTTAACTGTGTTTTTCCCAGTTCTGTTAGTCCCAGATATGCAGGGGCTGCCATGTGGGCACTGTGAGACCCATTGAACACATTTAACTGCTCTTCAGAGGGAAGTTCAAAGATATGGACTTGATTCTACCCATCCAGGTTGCCCACATTCAAAGTCCAGGCCACGGGGTATGGACTTTCCCCTAACCCCCATCTGTGGCTTAAAATTGAAACCTCTTGTAAACTTCAGGCACACTCCCCTTGATTTCCACTGGCCATAAATGCCATTCTGAATTTTGTGTTTCCTATGCTCTTGGTTTATTTTCTCTTATATACAGTGTGCTTTTCTACTAGTAGTGTAAGGGGTTCCTTTTATAATACACTTCTATGTGAACACTTCGTATTGTCAGACCTTAATTTTTGTGGGTATAAAATTATATTGTATTGTGAGCCTAATTTGCATTTCCCTGATTCTTGATGGGAGAATTATTGTCTTAATAATTCCTTGATTCCTTAATAATTATCTTAATAATTCTTATTGTTCCCTTAGGTCTCAATTTAGGTATCACTTAATTTCTGTAGCCTTCCTTGACTCTTATAAGATTAGTTCAGTTGCCTGTCCTGTTTGAACCTATAGCTCTGTGCCCATACCTTAATTTTTCTGTATTTTAACGGTCTGTTTACTTGCCTCCCTTGAGATTCATAGAGTCTCCTGGAAAGAGGGGGATCTTTGTTTTTTTCAATATGATATCTCCAGAGACTATCAGAGTGTGCCTGGCACTTAGCAGATGCTCAGTAAATGCTTATTGAGTGAGTAACATCCTTCACTTAAATGTGGTACATGCATATAGCAGCCACCTTCACTGAAATTGTCTGTAGAGAGTTATATTTTAGGGCTGATTTTCCATTGTAATTGATTTTCTGTGTCCAAGGATGGTTAGCATGACTAAATGTAGATGTTAAAAGCTGAGCTACAATTTTCCTTCCAAAGTTTAATATCAAAACCATGATTCTAATTTCAATGCTGTCTCTACTAGCTAGCTTTCCTGGCATTAAGTTCAGTCTTTAAGGAAAACTTCCATCTCTTAAAATAAGTTCAGGTCTTTTCTATCCTGTTCTGTTGATTTCATTGAAGCTAATAGTTAAGCCTCCTGCACTTAGTTTTATAACATTAGTTTTCCCAAGGCTAACATTTGTACGTATCTTGGTGTTTTTTTGCTGTAGATATTTACAAGACAGCTAAGTAAACCATTAGTGTGAGAAGTAAGCACCTACGTGAAATTCACCAATATATGTGATGTCTGAGATGCATGCTTGCAGGCAGCCACATGACTGTAAGCCTTTGTGGCTTGTGGCAGCCCTGGGCACACTGCTTCCCCAGCTGGCAGAAGTCTGGTGTCCCGAGTTTCACTAATGCTCTCATTCCACCACTGACCTTTATCATGACGTTGGGCCTGCAGTCTCCTGGAGCCTCAGTTGTTCCCTCTGGGGTATGAAGAGTGTGCTGGTGAATGGAAAGAGAGGCTGAGTTACACTCAGTTACTCAACCAACATCTACATAAATAAACCCAATTATTATAGAACCAATCCAGTGAAGGGGTAAAAATATCCAGTGGTGTGATGCTAAAGCTTTGGATCCTAAAGCTCTCCCTGCAGTCTGTGCAATTTCACAGACATTTAATGAATATCATCACTATGGGGCCCCTGTGTATAGACAAAGGACTAAATAAGACAAAAATACAGGTAGCACTTCCTTCTGGGTGATGTGTGTGGATGTAGATATGTGTGTGCGTGTGTCTGCATGAGTGTGTCTGAACACCTATGTTTCCTCTGGAAAATTGTGCTGTGTAGTTAGCGTATTTTTCTAGCATTTTCTCACCCATTCTTATGATGGTGAAATGCTAGACTTTGACAGGGAAGAGAGCTTTGTCTTTAGCACAGAGCCCTTTTCTTAGTGCTCAGATTAAGTCACCGCCGAGTGTAGAAAGGACTGAGCCTGGGAGGTGTGGGGCACTCTCCCCACAGGGAGCAGGGAGCTTGGGAAAGAATTCCCACAGCAGCTCACCTGTCCCAGATCTCCGTCCCCACCAGCCTAGGCATGTGAATTTCAGAGTAGACAAAGTTTTTTTTTTTAGCAAAAATAATATGTTAGCCAAAATATGAGACAGCCATCAAGCCAAGTTGCTCTTTCTGCCCATGCTCTACAGAATGGGACATGAGAGCAGGCCCTCCCACTTGGCCCCAGAGCGAAGGCTGCTGGGATAAATGCATTGCCTTGGTGTGCACTGTCTGGGCTCTAACCTGGCTTTGTTTTCTGACAGGACATCGACGGCCAAGCACTCCTGCTGCTGACTCTTCCTACAGTGCAGGAGTGCATGGAGCTGAAGCTGGGGCCTGCCATCAAGTTGTGCCATCAGATCGAGAGAGTTAAAGTGGCTTTCTATGCCCAGTATGCCAACTGACTCTGCGTTCTGGGGAGATGGCCCATTGTCTTGGTGATACAGTGTCTTGGGAAGGTTTTCAGGACTGGAACTTGTATTTTTGCAGATACGTGAGATGGCTCACACAGTCACCGGAAAGCAAGAAGCACGAAGGACGGCCTTTATCCACCAGCCTGTTCATAGTTCCATGTGTCTAAAGCACACACTGGGACCACATCAGTGGCCTCTAGAGAGTATAAATTAAAGTTCTGTGTCCAAGCCTGTGGGATATGAAGAACTCCTTTATATATCCACATCTCGCCTTTCTCCCACCCAAACCAGGCAGCTTCCTTTGAACAAGGTCCTAAACCAAGACCCACGTTTCTGTGAAAACACCTTAGGACGCAGTTGGTGTCTTTCTTCTTCAGTGTGGCCAAGGAGGTTGCCTGGCTGGTGGTTTTTGCTCTACTCATCCTCAGGCACATTTATAGATGCTTCTTTCATACCAGTACACGTGTGGCTGTGGCTGCTATCTGTGGCTGCGTGGCTGTCACCGCAGTTTGATCTTGGTGACAATTCATTTCTTAAACACAACTGTAGGTGATGTTTCAGGATATAGGTATAAAAAGATGTGCTAAACCTGCATCGCCTGTCAGAGGTGCCTTTTAGGAAGTTTGGGGAGTGAAGGAAGGTGGCCTGTCATTGCTATGAGAGTTTTCCTTGAGTGAACCTAGAATGGATTTCTATTTTCAGGTTCCTTTATGGAATCTCAAACATCTCTAATGTTCTGATTTAATTGTGACCACACCAGGGAGGGACTCCTTTAGTCTCTTAGGAAATTTTGAGTTGAATAATGAAGGAAAAGCTTACTTTTAGAGAGCAGGAGTGGGAAGAGAATTGAGGGAAGCTTTTTATACATCAGCTACATCCTCTTAGAAGAATCCCTTTGAATGCTGCTCTCTGTGGTTCAGCCCTGGCACTCGTTTATAACAGGCTGACGGATGCAGTGGGGTGAGCACTGGACCTGGAGTCAGCCCTGGTCTTTACCTGGCGTGGCCGATTACTAACGATGATCATATGTGATTCTGAGTCACTCTGCACCTCATTCCTGCAAAGTAACAGGTTGGGACACTCGACTGGAGCAGTGAGCACAGGTTCCCCAATCTCCTTCCTGCTCCTGCTAAAGGGAAGAGTCCAGATTGGCAGAAGTGAGAAAAAGAGTAAATGAGAAAAATGGGAGTGTCCCATAGCTTTTAACGCTGTAATTCCTGCAGCTCACTCTGGCTTTGAGGCTCTTATGACATTTCTTGGGCAGTTTTCACTAAATCAGTGAAGAAAGATCTGCGGTTCTGAGAATTGGCTGTTTTGTTTTTTTGTACCAAACACTTGATGTGTTAATGCCCCTGAGTGAACCAATATATGTATTCAAACCCAAATGACTTTTCTGTTCTGTTACGGTAGTTGCCCAAATACCTTTTAAACGTATGTGAAGAAACCAAACCTTCAGCTTGTTCAGGAGTGAGCGGGAAAAGCAGAGGCTGCACACCCTTCTGTCACTCTTTTACTATAACTACCTTGATCTTTTGGCTTCGATCAGAGTCTCAACAATTCCAGTAATACCATGGTGGGGGGAGGGCTTATTGGCTGCTCAGACTTCTGCTGCATTTGAAGGTGGGATTGTCAGATTTGGATAAATTTGATTACTGACGCTAACCTGTACTAACATTCTGTCACTGTTCCAGATGAACACGGAAAACAAACATTTTGCTCTTGAGACATTTTCGTCTCTCTATAGCTGATTTCTACAGTCCAGTTTTAAACATTTGGCAAGTGCGTTTGCCTAGGGACCACTGACAGAAGGACCTCTGTCCTAAGCTGTGCTAGTGGCACCATTGTAGGGATGGATTATCCGAGGTGATTCATGCCTGGCTTGCAGTCCATTCTCTCTTCTAAGCGAAAGTTCTGACCCTTCTCGGTTTCCCAACCCTGCCTTCTCAGCCACATGCTTTGGCCTTAAATGCTCAGTCTTGTGGAGTTAAGCTCTGTTCAGAAATTGGAAAGGGTATCCGTTTCAAGATCCTGGCTTTCTTCCTGTGCTGACTCATTTATGATCTTTCACTGTGGCCTTTTCAAGCTCAGCTCTTTCTGGTGCATGTGGAACGGAAGGAAGGAACGTGGCGCCAGCAACATCATAATGCACTTGCAGAACAAATGTCACCTCCTCGTGCCCTTTCCAAGAATGGCACAGAGGAGGAGGTGCTACGCTGAAGTAGATCTTCTGTGGGAGTCTCTGGAGTTGCCCAGAGGAGATGGAAGGTTCCTGCCACCAGCCTGGACAAGACCTGCCCACCATTGCTGGGACGCATCCTGCTCCCCTCAGGGCCAGATGCCCAAGGCTGTCCGTGTCCTCAGTCTCTCTTTGTGCTTCTGCTTTGTGTGTGTGAGGAGGCCATGCTGCAGGCAGAAGGCCAGCCTGGGTGATCACCATGAGGGTCGTCTCGTGCCATCTCCCGGCCCTTCTAAGAGCCAGGATACATTTTAGGACCAAGAAGATACTTTTGCTCCAAGTGTTGCCAACATCCTCCTGAACTTGGGTTCTTTGGGAATTTCCGTGATGGTGGGTAGAACTTCCTGCCGGTAGCAACTGGTCTGCAGAACTGTAAGGTGGTGTTCATTTCTCTGTACGAGTCACCTCTCACCAGCTTCAGTCTTAGAAATAGGACCAACTCCCAGGAACATTTTACTGTGTAGTTACTGTGTCTCTTAGGGCAGAAAATACTGATTGTACACCTGTAACCAACCCCTCTCCAAATACCACCACAGCCCCTAAACCAAACGTTCCTTGGTTGAAGCCCTCCAAGTGATGCCCCTCCCTTCCCCTCTCTTCTGTCTCTCAGATAATACTTAGGGACCAAAATCCTGTCCTCTGTGTACCTGGATCCTGCACACACCACGCCACTCATTACCTCTTGGAACAGCCGAGAAGCGCGTTTTCCCTCCTGGCCAAGCAGACACTGACAATCTGGATGTGGGTATAACCTGAGAAGAGCTGCCACCTCATCTTTAATGATAAAAGCCCATCACTCGAGAACGATTGGAGCTGGTTTTAGCCCCTAACTTCTCGACTTCATTTGTACTGTTGGGAAAATACTCTCCACAAAAATATAAGCGTGAAAACCTCAAAAGAGCAGGGTACGCATAACAGAACTTCTGGGCTTTTCAAAATAAAAATGAAACAGGCAAAGACCAGTTGCCTTCACCATGGAGTTGTGTAGCAGGGAGAACTCATCTATTCCTTTTAAAATTAGGTTCATTTGATCAAAGTTTGACTCACGCACGGTGTTTGAGTTGTTACGGCCTTTAGGTTGCTTTACCTTATTTGATCATATTTGAAAGATGATTTCCTGTGTTTGCTTTGATTTGCTCCTCGATAAGTTAAAATGACTCGAATGTCCAACGCTGCCACCTCTGACCCTTACTGCAATCTCCAGAAGGTTGATTTTGATCAGCCTTTGAAGACTGGTCTCAGTTTCCTAATTTGTCTCATAGAATTTTGAGTGTGGCATCAGGCAAGTTCTGAGATTTTCCTTTTATCTTATACCAAACACCCCTTTCTAAGAGCTTTTCTCCCTTTGATTTGGAAGCACTAGGGGTTTTCACACTTCTTTTGTAAAGCACCCATTTATATTTATTTCTGTATATAGAGCTATAAAAACAGTCGTGTTAAAATCTTTGTTGTGGTATGAACATCGTTGTTGCTCTTTGGTTAACATGGTAAACCTAGGCTCCAAGTACGCTCTTCTGTCTTTAGAAAGCTGTGATCGTGTGTGCAATGATTTGAAGGGAAAAGTAGTAAATTAAGGTATGTGTCATTTTTAAGGATGAACTCGTTGGAGAGAGATGCATACTACCCATGTCCCTTTGGTGCAATAACTAAATAGCAACCGTTACAATTTAATGCTTCTCTTACTTACTCACTGTCTTTTCCCATTCAAGGGATTTCTAGAAATTGCTTTACTCCCTTTAACTGGGTTGATTTTTAAAGTTGATTGATTCTCGTAGCTTTTATCGCTGGAGTTGGTTTACAAGGATCTAAAACATGATGTGATAAAATCGAACTGGGCTCTTTTCTCCCACTTCATTTACCTAAAAACTGCAATTGCTGACACCTGGTGCTGCCTTGGGCTTTGGTTAAAAGCACGTCTAGTTTAGATGGTGATTAATAACAGTGTCCTGAGCAGCAGACTCTTCCCTCTTACTGCTTTTGTTGGAAATGGCCAGGATTGGGTACCAGTGAGTACGTAGATCTTGTCACATGTCCAAGCAGAGTGGTGCTTCATATGGGCTGAAGAGCTGCATTGAAGAAAATGAAAAGTTCAGGACAAGCTGAAAATTACCTTAAGATGGGAAATTGGAGACAAAAATTCTTAATGACAGAAAAAGTAATCATCTCATCTGTCGTTCACAGTGGGAGCTAGCATGGTATCTGGAAGTGTGAACTGTCCCTAGTCGTGAATGTCAAAAGCCCTGTTACTATTTCACATTCCAGTTTGATTAGTTTGTGTTGAAATTTGATTCATATATCTTGCGTACGTTTTGGTGTGTAAAAGGGAAAATTGGGGGTTTTTACATTTGAGACTTGCAGGACAAAGGGCATGTTGTTGTTTTATTGTAAGACTGTATTCTGTATATATGTTTTCATGTAAATAAGTGAAAATCTATATCAGAGTTATATTTTAATTTTTATTCTAAATGGAAAAAACAACAACCCTTTTTACTTGAAAAAAATTGTAAGCCACATTGTTAATAAAGGAAAAGTAAATTCTATGGTGGTTGGTTGTGTCTTTGTGTCGAAGGTTATGCTTTTCAGGGTTTGTGTTAGAATTAATTTTGGGTTTTTTTTTCTTGTCATGCACTAAAATGTATGTTACAGAGTTTTAATAACCATGGTTTTCAAAATCCTATGTTACCTTTCCGGGTCACCGGCTAGCTCTGGAACATTTCATTCAGGGAACTCGTGTTTGCTCTGTTAAAACACCTCTCTGTGTCCTCACACGGTCACCTCTGGCCTCCCCACTTTTAATGACTGTAGTTACTCTGTGATTATCTGGTGCGTTAGTAGAAGCACTAAGTAAATGACCATGTTTGCACTTATCATTTCCCTTGAGTGTCACCAGTGAGTCTTAGGTGGCTCAGTTGGAAGAGGAAGAGGTCCCTTTGCCACTCTGCCCTGTCACGGGAGCCCTCGGAGGCGGGTTGTGCTCCCTTCCCCTCCGCCGGGCAGACTCGGGTGACTTTACCTGGAGACAGAGGTCAGGCGAAAGGGGGTAGGAGGCATTCAGGGGAGGGAGCTGGAGCGACACTATGCAATTTCTCTTCCCCATCGCAGACATTCTCAAGCCTCTTCATATACTTTTGCCCTGCTGACAAGTTCTGCATATAGAAATTTTTGTTTTGTTTTTAATTATGGAAGCCTTTTCTCTTAGTAAAACCTTACTAACAAAAAGGAAGCCTGAGAGAGCAGACAAAAGTGGGAAGCATATTGTTCATTTTCTCAAAATTGAAGAAAATCGGATGGGTTATATGGCTGAGTATGCATGACCATTGTATTTCTGTTTGTAATGAAGATCTTTGATGGCAAATTTAAAGGGTGGATGTATAATGGAACAAAGTGGCAACTGAAAACTTTTCTAACATTTTCCTTGCGTGAGCACCATGGAACAACTTCACCTGATGCAGGTGCTTTGCAAGTGACGTTATCCTTGAGATGTGTCCCCTCTCGTCACTGCTTCCACGATTTCGAGACCGGTCTCAGCACAGCCTGTGCTGGAAATTACAAAGCCCGATTTTGGAAGGACAGTCCGCACATCAAGGGAATTACAGGATGCGGCTAATGTCCACGGCAGGAGCTGGGGAACTTATGTGGGAGTAGCTGAGGCTGTTAGACCAAGTGGACAGAAGCTAAGACAACATGGGAAATTCAGGAAGTTGGGCATTTACCCGACCTGGGATTTAATATTCTTGAATGGACAACTTGGAGCCAGTCTAAGGATTACCCGGAGATGGATCCCTGATGTTGGCCCACAGTGAACAAGATGGGAATTCCAGAATGCCCTTGTCCTGGTATTGAAGAAATCAGAAGGCTGGAAATTTGATGGGAATATATGTAAATCAAGGCTGCTGCCTTTTAGAATACAGTTTGCAGGGACCTCTTGAGAAAAAGATGAAGGCATCTGTTCTCAGCCTGTGAGGGTTGGATGTCACGGAGCGTATGAGTGCATCTGAGTGGCACAGGGACGGACAGTGTTGAGTCCATGGAGGCAGGATGCACGTCCCCAGATCCGCTCAGCATCCATGGCCTTCCCACTGCGCAGCTCCTCTGTGGACAGCCCCAGCCACTGTGGCGGCTGCTTCATCTCCCGCCACCCCCGCCGTCTAGCCCGCTCGCCTCCGCAGGGTGGGGGCCGGCTCCTGCACACATCTCACGCCTGCCATCGACGCAGCCGCGGGCACACTGGCATTCAGAGCCCACTGCACTGGGCCCGCCAAGGCTGCAATTCCTGCCATCCTTTCTGGACGCAGGACAAGCCGGGCTGTGGAAGGTGACAGAACTTGGAGGTGCTGGGAAGTTCATGGGCAAACTCTGATCAGGGATGTAGCCAGCAAATAAACTTCTCGGCCGTCCTCCCCTGGATGGACTCCCCTCCCCTGTGGTGGAGTGGCCAGACTGTCCAGAGACATTCCCAGGACTAAACAGCTACTTGTGCTCCCGAGAAATCGTGGCCAGCCCTCTAAAGAACTGCTTTGCGTTGAGTTTACCCCCTTCCAAGCCTAACAGTCCTCAGCCTGGAATTCCACCCCTAAAGAAGCAGCTGGTAAGCTTGTTTTCTAGGGAACTGGCCTGAGAGAGGAGGCGGCCAATATTATACTTGCATATGCAATGTGCCAATAATAATAATGAAATATTCTAGTGAAATCCAGCTATCATCTGGGAGATCTACCAGCCTTGTGTCATTGGGACTGCGCCTGACAGGAATCCTTTTTGAATTTTAAGACATGGGTTGGAAATTCAAATTTCAAATGTTCATAGTGGTTATTGAAGTAGTATGTGTGCATTATAGAAAATTCAGAAAATAAAGGGCAGTTATTAAATTGACTTATTATATCCAACTACCACTTTATCATATTTCCATGCATATTTATGACAGTATTGAAATCAAGCTGCTTAGACCATTTAAATTTGTTTCACTAACCATTATTTTGTAGTAATGTTCTCTGGGGTGGAGTTAATGTTTTTATGTATCTAATATTTTTATTTTAAATGTTTCAATAATTTTTAAAGTAATTCAACATAACAAATGTACCCAGCTTTGGAAAATATTGTTTCTATTTTCCTTTAAAAGTTAGCGTTACGTTTTCCAGCCTCTCTAGCATATACATGTGTTTTGGTTGGTATTTCCAGTGTTATATTCCTGCCTGTGAGGGTCATCCCCGCTCCACATCCCCCCAGTTACTGCCAATCTGATGGGTATGGAAATGGTATGGTAATGGATGGGGTGAGGCAGTTAAATTGTCCTATTCTGGTCACCAGGAGACTCGTTTGCCCGCTGAGCTCACCTGCCATTCATCCCACCCGTGTCACATTTCACGTTTCCCTGTGTGCGTGGACTTGTGCCTGGCTCCAGAGTCTGTTTCGTTGGCCTGCTTGTCTACCCCATGCCATTGCCGCAGGAAGTATTATGGCCTCATAATAACGTGCGATGCCAGGGGGAGGGAAATCTCCCCGTGTTTCTCATCTTCAAAATTGTCTCGGCTGTTTGTGATCTATTGCTCTTCATCATGAATTTTAGGCACAACTTGCTGAATGCCGCAGAAAACTCTGTTCGGATATTTACTGGAAATGCGTTAAATTTATGGGAAAATTCGGAGAGCACTGACTCCTTCTGCCCTGCTGAATCTTTCTATCCAGAAGATGGTGGAAGTCTTTCTGTATTCATGTCTTCTATGACTCCTTCGATAGGGCTGTGATGTCTTCTCCATAGAAGCCTTATACATGTTTTGTTAAATATATTCCCTATACATTTTATATATTTTTGGCTACATTTTATATATTTTGGCTACCTTTTTCCTATTATGTTTAGTTCACTATTCCTGGGAACTCTATTGATTTTTATATGCTAATGTTCTATCCAGAGTCTTCAGTGAACTCAACTGAAAGGAATTTCCATTCTGAATCTTTTGCTCTTTTTTTATGTTTAGCACTAAATGATTTTTATGGTTTTGGGATTTTGGCTCACTCTGAGTGGGAAGTATTTATTTATTTACCCTCTCCTGTTTATTGAATTACTGGTTTTGCATGTTCTATCCATCCCGAAGAACAACTGTACAGAACCAGGTCTTTCATCCTTGGGGCAACCCTTAGTGATACCTTGTTGCGCATCTGCGCACTGAGCCAAGGCAGCTTGTCTCCCTTTTCGGGGTTAAGCTCTGTTCTCGTCCCCCTAGGGCCAGCCTTGCTTTGCGCTCCGAGAGGGCCTCCCCAGACCCTGGCTGCAGGCCCTGAGCCGTCCCGCCCCGTCTCTCCCGGAGCCCTTCACTCCACAAGAACGGAGCGTCCAGTGGCACCTGTTTGGGTCCTGCTTCAGAACCCAGCCTTTTCTGATCACTGGAGAGGTTCACCTTATCACCTTATTTTCGAGTTCAGCCACACTTCCTTGATTTTCTTATTTCTTATTCTGTGTTTAGAACAGGAGAGATGTATCCGGGTTTACATTTACAGAGCCTAAAAGTCTTGACTACAAGTCTCTCAGATATTACCTTTCTTTAAAAAAAAAAAAATTCTTCCAAGCAGCAGGTGGAATTAGAGCATGTTCTGAAAACGAAGCTAACATTCGCATTATTGAGGCAATTTAGAAATGAGGTTTTTACCCCATATGAAAATTCATATTGGCATGGGGTTCATTTAAGTTACAATTCCCCCAATGCTCAGCTAGTTGACATTTCTAAATGTCTCTTCTGCATAGTTTAACTCTTTGTAAAACCTCATGATTTGAAAAAAAACCTGCTTTGCATATTATTCCCTCTGACTTCTTGTCATAAGTCCCTAGCTGAGAGCATGGCATCGGAGGGGTGTAAATGTGAGAATGGGTCTGTTTTGGTCACTACCACACACTAACAAGGCTCGTACCTACCACAATTTGAGCAGTGATCCATTCTCCCCCCTCTGATGTCATGATGATTAAGTACTGACTCTGTCGAAATACAGTCATTTTTTTTACGTGCCACCTATCAATGGACTCACTTGAAACAAGTCATCCTTAATATGCAAATAGACTACTCTGTGCTGGCCCAATAATCCATATGAATGCACTGAAATAGAAACATTTTATGAGACACTTAAGCTTATGGGGAGCTAATTCTTCTTATGAGAAACCTAAGACGACATCAATTCATCTAACAGAAGTGTTTCAGACCTGCTAAGCAGGTGCACCGTGCTAAGTCCATTAGGAGAAAGCAGCACTGTGCTCGCTGCTCTTACACGGGCAAAAGCCACCTGGAAGGGAGGGCGGCCACGCGCTGAAATCGCTGCAGAGAACAGGAGCTAATGTGTGTACAACGCGGGTTCAGGCCGTAACTAGGAGAGAAGTGATGTTTATGCTTTTCAGATCCCTGTGCAAGGTCCCAGCCTTTGCTACTGGCCTTAGAGTGGGACTGAACATTT